AACACAGAGCCAAACCATATCAAGGTCTAAAAGGGCACTGAAGGGGGACCCAAACTATATCATTCATTATTCATTTATCTATTGTTGAATATTTATTCAATAAATAAATGAATTACCTACTACAGAGCCAATCACTGCAGTGGTCTCTGGAAACATAAGCCGGGCATGGAGGTACATGTCTGTAATCCCAGCTACTTGGGAGGCTGAGGCACAAGAATCACTTGAATTTGGGAGGTGGAGTTTGCAGTGAGCCGAGGTTGCCTGCCCCACTGGAGTCCAGCCTGGGTGGCAGAGCAAGACTCCGTCTCAAAAAAAAAAAGGAAAGAAAAGAAAAGAAATGGGCAGATGCAGTGGCTCACATCTATAATCGCGGCACTTCGGAAGGCCGAGTCTGGCGGATCACCTGAGGTTAGGAGTTGGAGAGCAGCCTGGCCAACATGGTGAAACCCCATCTCTATGAAAAACACAAAAAATTAGCCAGATATAGTGGCAGGCGCCTATAATTCCAGCTACTTCGAAGACTGAGACAGGAGAATCTCTTGAACTCAGGAGGTGGAGGTTGCAGTGAGCCAAGATCGCGCCATTGTACTCCAGCCTGGAGGACACAGCAAGAGCTTGTCTCAAAAAAAAAAAAAAAAAAAAAAAAAATTATCTTCTTCCTGTCCAAAATATATTTATTTAATTTCCATTTTCTGTTTTGACTTTGTATTAATTTGCTATTAATCTTGGCAAAATCAGCTCCTTACTCTGCATAACAGCTTCATCATTCCTAAAATGACACATACAATCCAAATAATGTTTCCCAAATGGCAGACCTTAGCATGCCAGTGTCCTGAATGGCAGTGAGAAATTGACCCCTCCTCCAATGGGACAGTTAGGAGGGGCTGCGCCAGCCAGAGCGCCTTGGGACAGTATCTATGGTCATGAGCAGCCTTATTAGGACTTTGAGCAGCCTGTGGCCTGGAGTACACGCCAAACAAGCAGGAAGCACTGTGGACAACAACCAGCACTTGCAGTCCTGCTGTCTGTGCATGGCCAAGGAGATGCCTGGCACATGGCAATTACACACAAACCACCCCACTGCCTATCATGAAAGAGATTCAGGCCAATGCACAAGTTCGTGATCTTGGTGCCCAAGGAATACAACACATACCTCCAGAGGTAGTTTGTTTGGGAGTAACACAGGAGCAGAGTGGGGTTCCTAGTGAGTTTAGCAGTAGGCAACGCTCTAATATTTGTCTTAACATACACTGGCTCTTACTATTCTATTGAAGCAAATGCTATTTTAATGGCAACCAGGCTATCTGTTAACAATGCACACATTCTGAAAGCTGGAGTTTCAATGTAGAAATCTTCATCTAAAAATGTACTATTGGGTTTGAAATGCATTTGCATGATTACATGAAATTACAACATTTGTCAATAAGAGTTCTTAGATTCTTTTTTTTTTTTTTTTTTTTGAGATGGAGCCTTGCTCTGCTGCCAGGATGGAGTACAGCGGTGTGATCTTGGCACACCGCAACCTCTGCCTCCCAGGTTCAAGCAATTCTCCTGCCTCAGCCTCCTGAGTAGCTGGGATTATAGGAACCTACCACCACACCTGGCTAATTTTTGTATTTTCAGTAGAGACGGGGTTTCACCACGTTGGTCAGGCTGGTCTCGAAATCCTGATCTCGTGATCCACCCACCTTGGCCTCCCAAAGTGCTGGGATTACAGGTGTGAGCCACCGTGCCCAGCCAAGTTGTTAGATTCTTTAAAAATAATTACAATTGTAAATTTTGAATGGTTGTATAAAAATGGTTTAAAATATTTTATCACCCATTTATGTGAATCAGTCCCTCAATGACAACGACTATTCAGAATATGAGGAGTTCATCATTAAAAAGTCTAGATCAGGCCGGGCACGGTGGTTCATGCCTATAATCCCAGCACCTTGGAAGGCTGAGGTGGGCAGATCACTAAAGGTCAGGAATTCTAGACCAGCCTGGCCAATAAGGTGAAACCTCATCTCCACTAAAAATACAAAAATTAGCCAGGTGTGGTGGTGCTCACCTGTAGTCCCAGCTACTTGGGAGGCTAAGACAAGAGAATTGCTTGAACCCAGGAGGCAGTGGTTGCAGTGAGCAGAGATCATGCCGCTGCACTCCAGCCTGGGCAACAGAATAAGACTGTCTCAAAACAAAAACAAAAACAAAATTAGGTTAGCATGGTAGCACAGGCATGTAATCCCAGCTACTTGGGTGTCTGAGGCATGAAAATTGCTTGGACCCAGGAGTGGTAGGTTGCAGTGAGCTGAGATCATGCCACTGCACTCCATCCCGGGCAACAGAATGAGACTCTGTCTCAAAAAAAAAAAAAAACAGCTGGGCATGGTAGCTCATGCCTGTAATCCCAGCACTTTGGGAGGCCAAGGCGGGCAGATCACCTGAAGTCAGGAGTTCGAGACCAGCCTGGCCAACATGGAGAAACCCAATCTCTAATAAAAATGCAAAAAAATTAGCCAGGTGTTCTGGCGATCACCTGTAATCCCAGTTACTTGGGAGGCTGAGGCAAGAGAATTGCTTAAATCCAGGAATCGGAGCTTGCAGTAAGCTGAGATTGTGCCATTGCACTGCAGCCTGGGTGACAGAGTGGGACTCCGTCTCAAAAAAAAGTCTAAATCAGAAACTGCATAAAGCCACTTCAACCATAAAATCTAGTATCAAAATGTATTCACAAGTTCAAGTTGATCATTAAAAAACATGCAAAATTTTAAAGTGTTATGCAAATTCAATATTTGCATTCCTACTACTTTGTATTTATCAAAATTAGACACTTAAAAGAAAATATTACTACCATTTGGATGCCTCTAAATACCTTCTAGTTTACCCTAGCATGCTGCACAAAAATGATCATTTTCTGTATGTCAAAAGAAAGGAGAGGGCCTGATACAGATTATAAAGTCTGTCTGCCACTCATCTCACACTAGTACCTTCACTCCCTCCTCCTATCCCATACACTGCCTTTCCCGTTTCAAAGAGTCAGGGCTACAAGTGTAGATCTTAGCCAAGGTTCAAGTGTGTGCCCTACAGGGTCAAGGACTGGAAAAGGGGATTTTGTACCTGAGATACAATTGGAGCTTATTTATTTATTCATTTATTTTATTTTTTGAGATGGAGTCTTGCTCTGTCACCCAGGCTGGAGTACAGTGGCATGATCTCAGCTTAATGCAACTCCTGCTTCCCGGGTTCAAGGGATTCTCCTGCCTCAGCCTCCTTAGTAGCTGGGAATACATGCCTGGCTAATTTTGTATTTTTAGTAGGGACAGAGTTTCACCGCGTTGGCCAGACTGGTCTCGAACTCCTGACCGCAGGTGATCTGCCAGACTCGGCATCCCAAAGTGCCGTGATTATAAGCGTAAGCCACTTTGTCCGCCCATTTCTTTTCTTTTTTGAGATGGAGTCTCGCTCTGCCTCCCAGGCTGGAGTCCAGTAGGGCAATCTCGGCCTCCCGAATTCAAGTGATTCTCGTGCCTCAGCCTCCCAAGTAGCTGGGATTACAGATGTGCACCTCCATGCCTGGCAAATCTTTGTATTTTTTAAAAAGTAGAGACGGGTTTTTACCATGTTGGCCAGGCTGGTCTCAAACTCAGGACTTCAGGTGATCCTCCTGCCTTGGCCTCCTAAAGTGCTGGGATTACAGGCATGAGCCACTGTGACCGGCCAGAGCTTAAGTTTAGACAAAAGCATAAAAAAATAACTAATGTCAGGTTCGGTGCGGTGGCTCATGCCTGTAATCCCAGCACTTGGGGAGGTTGGGAGTTTGAGACCAGCCTGGCCAACATGGTAAAACCCCGTCTCTTCTTAAAATACAAAAAATTAGCCAGGTGTGGAGGTACACGTCTGTAATCCCAGCTACTTGGGAGGCTGAGGCATGAGAATTACTTGAACTCAGGAGGGGGAGGTGGCGGTGAGCCGAGATCACGCCATGGCACTTCAGCCTAGGCAGCAAGAGCGAGACTCCGCCTCAAAAATAAAATAAAATAACAAATGTCCAAAAACAACACACATGCGGTATAAACAGCAAATCTGGACCAATACAAGGGGAGGACAAAAAGATGTAAATAAATGGACTGATTATTTCATATTCCTGGAGATAAATTAACATCCCATCCCACATCATTTCGCAATTTAACACTAACATTTATACAAAAGTTATTGATAAGAACAAAAGTTGTTGATTAGAATTAACTTGGTTAGAAACACCTGGACAAACGTATACCCTAAAGTGCAGCCAGGTGATCACTCTTCTTGATCACCTATGCAGTGTCTCATAGGGTACACTGGTGTGAACACCACTTTCCAAAGTCTTTCACTTTGCATTTTTCTTTGTATTCAGAATTGATAAAGTTACCAAGACTACTTCACAGTAATGAGACTTAACCAGACGCTAAGGCTGTACATTATTCCAATGTCTCAAGTCTATTGCTAGCCATCAGGAGCACCTGAGTAAGCAGAATACATAAGTTTGCGGAAAAGGAATCAAAGCAACAGGAGGAGTCTGGTTTGAACAGTTATTTCCTCCAAATTACATTAAGGATTGCTAACTGATTTCTGCCCCACAAAAGTACACTTTGTTCATGTTTCCAAACTATAACGCAGGTCCTCCCTGGGCAACGCCTAGATAAATTAAGAAATTCTTAGATTTTGCGCTCCCTTTTTCCAAACTCCACGCCGACCACTCCGCGTTTGTTAACAGAAACTTTTAATATACAGGTAGCTGATTAGATTTCTAATCTTTCCTAGGGAGAGCCCGTTCAATTCTAAAAGAGTAGGTCACATGGGTTGCTAACTTAAAATATAAAGCATTTCCTAATGAAAAAGGAGGCTGGTCAATTGTGGTTATTTTTACCAGCAACTTTAAATATAGATACAGTACATAGATTATTAATTTATGGCTGTCGTGGGTGTTAGGAGATGACCTAATCCCATCCCCATTTTCATAAAAAAAATTAAAGCTAAAGTTCTGCAAAGTCAAATGATCTAGGCCGAGAAAGGATTAGATCTCCAGAGCAATATGGTAACAATGATTCGCAAACAGGAAGCATTATCTGGCGACTCTGCTTTTTTGGAAATCTTGTAAATCATTCAGTTTCGTAAATTCCGTCAGCTAGAAAAGATGCTTCAGCTCTTTCCACACTAACTTTAAAGCAGCACATTAGAAAATAGTTCCGACTTGTTTCTTGAGATCAGAGAGTAACTAATGAACTGACCTCCACCAGTTCTGCCTCAAGCTGTTAAGGGTAAAAATTCTGTAAGTCAGCCGCGTTTTGAGGCCTGTCCAAGGTGCCTGTGATTCCCACATGTCGGGGTCGCAGTGATTTTCTGTACATGCCCTCGGGTAGGCGCCGCAATCAGACATTGGTCCCTGCCATTCGGAAACAGGAGAGGTGGTCCGGGAGGCCGAGGGGTTTTTCTTGTCACTTTTAAATTACAAGCAAGAAAACGTGCGTTTTATTTCGGGCACAGGGATGGAATGAATTCGGAAACAGAACGACAGGCCTGCGTGGGGGAAGAGGGACAAGCGCAAGAAGAAAGGGAAAGGCCTTTCTCTCTAGTGACACGCAGTCACGAGGTATTCTCCATACGTGGGCACTCACTATTGGCTGAGCCCGGGCTGACGTCCCCGCTAACGTCTGGACGCAAACCGCAGCAAAGGCGGTCCTGCACTGAAAGTTGGCGAGGCGCGCGCGCTCCCGCGGCACACCGCGCCTCCGCCCACCGCCCGCCAACCCGCTGGTCCAGTCCCCCTTCGCGCCCGCTTGGCTCCGCCCCCTTCGCAGCTCGCTCCTCCCCCACCAGACTGGCGGCGCGCGGAAAAGGCGTCACGTGACGACTGGCCCCGCCTCTTCCTCTCGGTCCCATATTGAACTCGAGTTGGAAGAGGCGAGTCCGGTCTCAAAATGGAGGTAAAACCGCCGCCCGGTCGCCCCCAGCCCGACTCCGGCCGTCGCCGTCGCCGCCGGGGGGAGGAGGTATTAGGGGGAGAGCGGGGGGTTGATGGGGAATGGCCAGCGTGGGGGGCCTGGCCTGGTGGGAGCGGGGAGGCCGGGTGGACTGGGTCGGCCGTCCCGCGCTCTTGCGTTGAGACGAGCGGTGGGAGGGGGAGGGGAGCGGGCTTTGGAGGCCTCCGCGGGGTGCCTCACTCGCCTCGCCTTCACCTTCGGCTGCACTGGCGGCCCCTTGGAGGCGCGGCGTGGCTAGGGTGGCCTGGGGAGGGAAGCCGGCCCGCCGGTTGCGCGGCCTCCAAGCGGGACTGCGGGCGGCATGGCGGGCACCGGCGGGAGCGGTTGGGAGGAGCTGGTGGGGGAGGGGAAGGGACGAGCAGGCACATCCGGGCGAGCGAGCAGGCGGGCGGCGGCCACATTGACATTGAGCCGCCGCCGCGTTACGAAATGGCGCATTGGCCCGCAATGGCCGCCGCCTCGCTCTACCGCCGGGAAAGAGAGCCTGGGATTGGAGGGAAGAGGGCGGAGGCGGCCCAGCGGAAAATGCCGCAAATGGCCTCGAAGCACGGAAGGTAGCGCTTTCGCTGAAGTTCTGTCGGCGCTTTTCCAGGCCTTTTACGGATCCTCTCCGCGAGGAGAGTCTTTAATTGTCTAGCCTGTTCTTTTCTTCGCAGCATCCTGTCGGAAATACGAGATTGCTAGAAACTTTGCTGCTTTAAAAGACTTGTTAATCTGTTTTTACACCTCTCAAACTGCCACGTGGGTGAAGAACTTAGTATTTTGAGTGTAGATGCGGAAAACAACCCAGTCCGCTCCCTCCCGGCCCCGGCCAGGGTCGAGGAGTGGAGAAGAAGAATTTGAGTGTAGATGTTAAGTAAGAATTAAAAATGTTTTTGATCTTCATGGTTTCTCATTTTTTGAGTCGGCTCTGATTATAGTTTCCTGGAATTTTGTTGAGAGGACTGCAGTCAGAGTTGAAATTTTTACGTGTGTGTTGGCAGTACGTTTTATGTGGATCCCAAATGTTTATTTTTGTCGATTTTGTTATTGCCAATCGGATACAATTATCCAAAACTTGAAAATATGAGACTACATGAATTAATGCTTTAGGCTATTAATTATTTAACGTTTTTTTCTAGTATGTGACAGTCGCTTCACATTAAATGCCTTAACATCTCTACCTCTAGAAGACACAGGAAGACATTAGAATGTAAATGTGAGCCCCTTTATTTAAGGACTTCGGATGACGGAAACCTTAATGCATGCATTAAATGACAGTTAATGCAATGTGTTGAAAAGTCTGACTAATCGTATAAAACAATTTCAGAATATCTTAATTCTTAAAAATCTCACTTTTTGTTTTACTGTGCTCCATTCTTCTAGTCAAACAATACATACTACTCCTAATGTAAGTCCAACTTGCCACTTTGTTGTGACTCTTAAAATTGAGTTGTAAAGTGCAGATTTTTGCAGCATGTAACAAGCGTGGGCTATAGAAAGCTATATTTGGTGGGCTTTTTTTTTTCCCTAATTTTTTTTGGGGGGGCAGGAAATGCTAGTTTAGCTTAGCAATGACTATTTTAAAAATTTGGTTGAAAGCAGTGAGTTTCTTTAGGTTGATCATCACAGTTTTGTGTTTAAAATTAAATGTGTGTTAGGATGAGAAGACTTGGGATAAATGCAACACTGCTTCTCCAACACTTTAGTGCCCTAGAAAATGACTTCTCATTAGCAGCTTCTAAAGTAAAGACTTGTAGCTTTTAATAAATGGAGGGATTTTTGGTTCTGGAATTGTCTTGGATTTCAATTTAGTTGAAGTGTTGTTGGCATTTGAAAGGCAGGTTGTATGTTTCCTTGGCATAAGTTAGCCCCTTTAACAGTAGAAGTCTGTATTTCTGGTCAAAGTTGTTAGGGTTTTTTGTTTGTTTTGAGATGAAGGTTCCCTCTTGTTGCCCAGGCTTGGAGTGCAGTGGCACAACCTTGGCTTACTGCAACCTCCCCCTCCTGGGTTCAAGCAATTTTCCTGCCTCAGCCTCCCGAGTAGCTGGGATTACAGGTGCCCGCCACCATCCCCAGCTTATTTTTGTGTTTTAGTAGAGACGGCGTTTTGCCATGTTGTCCAGGCTAGTCTGGAACTCCTGACTTCAGGTGATCCACCCGTCTTGGCCTTCCAAAATGCTGGGATTACAAGCATGAGCCATGGCTTCCTGCCTCTGGTCAAAGTTGTAACTGGACAAAGTGTTAGCTGTCACAGGAATTTGATGTTGATTTTATTATTTATTAAAGGCTCTTTGTACATCTTAACAATTCATCCGTTATAAGAGGTAATTTAAGCGTATTGGTTCTTTGTCTCAGGGCCATGATCCAAAGGAACCAGAGCAGTTGAGAAAACTGTTTATTGGTGGTCTGAGCTTTGAAACTACAGATGATAGTTTAAGAGAACATTTTGAGAAATGGGGCACACTTACAGATTGTGTGGTAAGTTACTAAGGGAACAGAATGGTTTTTAGGGGTGTAGAGAACTGGTGGAGGTGTTTCAGTGTTATAAAACTTTTATTTTGTAGGTAATGAGAGATCCCCAAACCAAACGTTCCAGAGGCTTTGGTTTTGTGACTTACTCTTGTGTTGAAGAGGTGGATGCAGCTATGTGTGCTCGACCACACAAGGTTGATGGGCGTGTAGTGGAACCAAAGAGAGCTGTTTCTAGAGAGGTATTTTAATAATATGTTGTATAATATGTGAAATTGTTGTGAAAGTTTATGTCTTGACTTAATACATTACTTAATTTGTAGGATTCTGTAAAGCCTGGTGCCCATCTAACGGTGAAGAAAATTTTTGTTGGTGGTATTAAAGAAGATACGGAAGAGTATAATTTGAGAGACTACTTTGAAAAGTATGGCAAGATTGAAACCATAGAAGTTATGGAAGACAGGCAGAGTGGAAAAAAGAGAGGATTTGCTTTTGTAACTTTTGATGATCATGATACAGTTGATAAAATTGTTGGTAAGTATGGGAACTTGAATGAGAAAGAAGTAGTTTCTCTGTTTTGACCTAAATTTGCCGAATTACTTGTAATTTTCTGTTGCATGTAACAGCGTTTATAGTGTATGGTCAATTTTCATAGTGTCTATACTCTGTAATCAATATCCAGGTAAAGGAATAAACATCTCAGAATGCTCCTTCATTCCGAGTCACTACCTGATTATGTCTTAATGGGTTACATAATGACAGAGGGTATCATATATGCGCTTTTCCAAACACAAAATAACTTTTTGTTTTGTTTGATTAAAAAAAAATTTAGTTCAGAAATACCATACTATTAATGGGCATAATTGTGAAGTGAAAAAGGCCCTTTCTAAACAAGAGATGCAGTCTGCTGGATCACAGAGAGGTGAGTAGTACCATACACATGTACACAAAAGATTTTAGTGGTGGCTGTAAGGTTCTTAAAATCTCCCTTGCCTATGTTAAAGGTCGTGGAGGTGGATCTGGCAATTTTATGGGTCGTGGAGGAAACTTTGGAGGTGGTGGAGGTAATTTTGGCCGTGGTGGAAACTTTGGTGGAAGAGGTAGGATATTTATCTTCTAAGTACATGCGTACCTAATGTTTTGGTAAGTTAAATATATGATTTTAATTAATATCTTGTTTTTCCTCAGGAGGTTATGGTGGTGGAGGTGGTGGCAGCAGAGGTAGTTATGGAGGAGGTGATGGTGGATATAATGGATTTGGTGATGGTAGGTGGTTTATTTTCATTGATTTGTTTTTTTAACTTTCTTTACCTTATGGAAAATTAAGTATTACGTAAACCTTTCTAATTTTAATCAAAACTTGAATGACTTAATGATTAAGACGTATTTCCAAACTAATGCCGTAGAAGAGTAGAGACTCTTTTTCCCCTGGAGATTTAACATTAGCTGGTCTTTTTCAGTGAGTAGTAGGAGTTGGTCTAGAATTGAAGGCTGGGACCGTATTTTTCTTAGTGAAGATTGATAAAATCAGAACTGAAGCATTTATTTTCATTCTTATTAGCTCAGATACTTGTTATTCTATTATTATTCGATATTACCAGGTTTCAGAGTGTTAACTCATTGGCTTGTCAGTGGTTTAAATGTAATATAAAACCAGAATTGAGTAATGCTAGCTATTCAGGAGGCTGAAGCAGAAGGATCACTTGAGGTGAGGATTTTGAGACCAGTCTGAGCAACATCAGGAGATCATGTTGCTAGAAAAATAAAATAGGGGAATATGGTGGCACATGCCCATAGTATAGCTACTCAGGAGGCTGAGGTGGCAGAGTGGCATGAGCCCAGGAGTTCAGGGCTACATTGTTGTGGTCATGCCACTGTACTCGAGACTGGGCAACAGAGCAAGATCTGGTTTCTTAAACACACAATCACCAGAAGTGAATAACTTGACTCTTTATACATTTATGTTTTTGTGTGGTCTTATTTTTTGTTGTTTTTTTTTTAGGTGGCAACTATGGCGGTGGTCCTGGTTATAGTAGTAGAGGGGGCTATGGTGGTGGTGGACCAGGAGGATATGGAAACCAAGGTGGTGGATATGGTGGCGGTGGTGGAGGATATGATGGTTACAATGAAGGAGGAAATTTTGGCGGTGGTAAGCATTCACTTTTTTCATTTAAATGGGAAATAGTATTGCTAACAGTTCCCATGACATAAGTTTGAAAAGTGTTAAAAGCTAGCAGTGGGTAAAACTGTATGTTCTGTAATATTAGAAAATACTAAAATGGGTAATTCAAACCAAATTTTCTTGACTTTGCTGGTTGTTTAGTAAAACATACTCAACTCTTAGTTGAGAAGTTAAAAGTGGGCATTTACCAGTATGTAGTACATGTATTACATGTAAAAGATAGGGAGTTTATATATTGCCAGAATTTTACCTTGATTCTTAGCTACTTTTAAACGGACAAATGGGAATAAATTGTTTGAATAGTGAGACATGTTGAAGTTAGCAGGTTGCCATCTAGGTGTAAGACAAAAAGTACTTCGTGTCTTAATACGTGACAGGTACATTGCAGACTTTAATGTAAATCATTACTCCAGGATACTGTTAAGAGCTTCTTTATGAATGTACTGTTTTGTTGGACCTAATTAACATGTCAGTGACAGATGAGCGAAGTTTTAACAAGTTAGAATGCCTTTGCATTGTTTTAAATGTTGTACTGCAGCAGCAGCATAGTGAGTGGAACACTTGACAGTTTTAATGGTGTTAATGTTAGAGAGAACATGTGCCTAGAGAATACCATGTAATACAAACAAAATGTTGATGGTCTTTCAATGTGCTGACATCAGTTATCCCAAGTGGTGCTACCAAAGTGGTGTGTGCTACCGTAATTGTCAAAAGATAATAGTTACATCAAAAGGGGAAAATGATTATTGTGTGGGTAAACCACACATAAACCCTTTCTGATTTCAGGTAACTATGGTGGTGGTGGGAACTACAATGATTTTGGAAATTATAGTGGACAACAGCAATCAAATTATGGACCCATGAAAGGGGGCAGTTTTGGTGGAAGAAGCTCGGGCAGTCCCTATGGTGGTAAGTACTTTCTTAAATTAATTCTTTAGAGCCTTTTTAATTTTAAAAAAAATGCATACTTCTTTTAAAATATTATGTATATTTTTAGGTGGTTATGGATCTATTATGTATATTTTTAGGTGGTTATGGATCTGGTGGTGGAAGTGGTGGATATGGTAGCAGAAGGTTCTAAAAGCAGCAGAAAAGGGTAGGTATCTTTAAATTTTTGTCATGATGATAAAGAATATGTGGAACTGTTCACTGAGTGTAATAATTTTTTTATCCTGTATTATTCAACAGGCTACAGTTCTTAGCAGGAGAGAGAGCGAGGAGTTGTCAGGAAAGCTGCAGGTTACTTTGAGACAGTCGTCCCAAATGCATTAGAGGAACTGTAAAAATCTGCCACAGAAGGAGCGATGATCCATAGTCAGAAAAGTTACTGCAGCTTAAACAGGAAACCCTTCTTGTTCAGGACTGTCATAGCCACAGTTTGCAAAAAGTGCAGCTATTGATTAATGCAATGTAGTGTCAATTAGATGTACATTCCTGAGGTCTTTTATCTGTTGTAGCTTTGTCTTTTTTCTTTTTCTTTTCATTACATCAGGTATATTGCCCTGTAAATTGTGGTAGTGGTACCAGGAATAAAAAATTAAGGAATTTTTAACTTTTCAATATTTGTGTAGTTCAGTTTTTCTACATTTTAGTACAGAAACTTTAACAAAATGCAGTTTTGAAGGTGTTTCCTTGTGAGTTAACAAGTAAAGAAGATCATTGTTAATTACTATTTTGTATGAATTTTGCTAAAGTTAACTGTAAAGAAACACCTGCTGACTTGCAGTTTAAGGGGAATCTATTCTTCCCATTTCCAAACCATAATATGAATGGGCACTGACATGTGGAGAGAATAGATATATGTGTGTTTGCAATGTGTGTTTTAGGTAAATAGGATTGGGTATTTAAATTAGCATTTGTGAATTTAATAGCATTAAGATTACCTTCAAATGAAAAAAATCTAAAAATTTCTATTTGGTTTTTGTGCATTTTCTTTTAAAATGTAATCATATGATTTTAGTGTGTTAGACTTGCTGAGTCCTAGCTGTGTTTAGAACATCTCCATTCTACGTTTACCTTGGTCAAATTTGAACTGCTGCCATAGGTTTTGGGTGTAAAGAATGTTTACTGCCCTCCATTTAAATTCAGAAAAGGGGTAGTGGATGTTTTCCCTCTCCTACGTTAGAAACCATTCTTAAAAACTTTTCAAAATATAGGACCATTAAGCCTGCTATATCTGAGCAAATTAGTGGGTACCTTTTTTTTTTTTTTCTTTTTTAAAGCACAGGAGGCCCATCAGTTACTTTCCTTGGTTTAAATTTATATATATATATGTATGTATGTATATGTGTGTGTGTGTGTGTATATACATATATATACATACATATATATATAAAGTTTTCAGAGTAAGAGAATAAAAATCCCTAACTGGCTGGCATGCTTTCCTGTTTGTACCCTATACATTTTGCTGGATGAAACCAAGGATAGTTTAGGTATAACTGTCCAAAATAACCTAACTGCAGCAGAAATGTAGCACAGTTGCTTAGTACAAGCTTCTCACTTCCTACAGACCTGAATTCAAATTTGGATAGTTTGAGTTCTTAAATTCCCAAAGAACACACTGTAACTTCTTGTGTATATTTCAACATAAATCATATTGTTACCAATTCGTTTGGAAGGCCCTGGTTGAGAAGACTTAGATAATAAGGTCATATATATATATATATTAATATAAACCAATGTTTACTGTTTTGCGCCAGCTAGTGCTTACAGTTTCATTCGATCCCTGAGTATGTGCCCTGCTGTTATTCTTTCTTGGTAGTTGAACGTTGAATTCAAGATTCTTTGTTTTGTTTTAAGAAGTACTAAGCAAAACAAGCAATAAAAAGGGGAATGGGGCGTGCTAGTGTTTGAATATGCTCTCTTGTTGCTCTAATTCTGTGCCTCTGTGCATTAATATTTGGATGCATGCAATGCTAGCATGGAAATTGGTCTTCACACATACTGCAGTTTTCCAGAAACACTCACAAACCAATAAATGTAACAGATATTCCATTTGTTAATGGGCATATATGTGAAAAAGCAGTGTAGAAAATAGGCTAATATTAGAAAATGGTTAAGTCCTTAATAACTTCAAGTGTGGTTATATAATGGACACTGTCAATGTTCATAACTTAAACCTGGGTACCTGGTCAAAATAATGCTTGGGAAACATTAAAATTGAGCTAAATTGTCTCAAGTTCTTTTATTCATATAAATAAAGTTTAAAGGAATGGGGGAGATTGACATTTCCTGTTTTATGTTTGTGAAATTGTTTGACACAACCTTGACAGTATCCTTTAATGGCATATAAGGTTAATTGTACTGTTAACCAACTTTCTATGTTCTGGAACTAGTATTATAGTGAAAACATTTACAGTAAGTTGATGTTTACAACCTATAAGCAGGTGAAATCTGTGTATGTGACCTGTTTATAAGTTGTATTAGCTTAGCTCTTGTGAACAGTGTGGAAAAGTAAGCCATGAGGAGAGCGATTTAACCAGCTTTAAAGGACCTAAGTTGTGCTTTTTAAGCACAGTGTGGATCAAAGGAAACTCACTAAGACAGGACTTCAGCAGCCTTTTGTGTATGGACAAGTCAGCATAAATAAAGAATGACAAGGCAGCAGCAAGAGCTTCAACTACAGAGAAGTGAAGGCATAAGATACTATGATGATAGTGAGCAACTTTTCAAAAGCTAGTTAAATCTGCTTATTACAACTGAAATATCGAAGAAAGTCTAGCAGGAAGGAGCTCTTCGCCTTTTGGAACATCAATGAGAGATAGTTGCCACAGTCACTAGGTCTAGCATTTAGACCTGCAAGGAAGGGCAATAAGCATTAGGTAAGGCTTGAATTTGAATTTTTTCACTAATTAAAGAGTAATTTTTTGTAAAGCAAGGTAAGAGTAATCTTTTTGATTTGCAGGTTGAATGAGAACCCTACTTGCCTAAATGCGGAATGTCTTTCCTACCATCTAAAATACGAAGGTTTCTGGCTGGGTAAGGTTTGTAGTTGACAGTAAAACCTGATGACACCATTTGTTTCCCTACAAGTACAAATTTCACAACTTTGTCCTTTTCTAGTAGGCACATTGGTAAAATTCTTCAGCTGAAAACTACCTTGGTACCATGTCCAACACATTTAAACCTTAGTTTTAAAAATTCCCCTGTAACAGTCATAGGTATTCATCTGGAGTCAGTTGTGACCCCTTGTGTATACCATTTTTTATTAGTGTCTTCAGGGTAAACTCAATTTTTGGTAAGAGAAGGTAGCTTCAGCTTTGGTAAAAACCGTTTTTTAATAAGCATTACACACCACAGACTCAGTAGGCTGGCAATCCTCATATTAGGAAAAACACCTTCAAAGGAACAGTAAAAGTTAACAGGGCCTGGCACAATAGGTCATGCCTGTAATCTCAGCACTTTGGGAGGCTAAGGCAGATGGATCCCAAGTCCAGGAGTTTGAGACTAGCCTGGGTGACAAAAGCAGACAAATTAGCCAGGCTTGGTATTCCACATCTGTAGTCCCAGCAGCTTGGGAGGCTGAGATGGGAGGATGCCTTGATGCTAGGAGGTTGAGGCTGCAGTGAGCTGACTGCCCCACTGTGTTCCAGCCTTGTTGACAGACCTTATCTCAGAAAAGTTATCAGATGTCACAGATAAAATTTGGTCTTCAAGTGGCCTCATAAGTTCTCTCATATATAAATTCAGGGAATTCCTTGGATAGGTTACATTTTGGTTCCTTTTTTTGTTTAGGTTCATCTGTTAACCAGAAGCAGTGGGGGCCTAATTAGTGCTCCTTTGTAAAAAGACATTTTTCCAAAGAATACTGAATTACTGTTCAAACTGGTTGTTGATGGTTAATAAGGGCTGTTTTTGCTGTCCCAAAAGGACTTAACAATTTAGGTGGTTAGTTTACCTTAAAAAGCAGCCTTTGGAGACAAATACTGAAAATGCAAACTAGTTTCCAAATTATCAGTTTCCTACGTGAAGAGCAGTCAGTTTGCCAGTGTTCTTAGAAAGTGGCTCTTGGCTCTGTCTAAATGAGAACCCAATTTCTACACATGTTGAGTAAGGTAACAGCCTTTGAATTTCCTTTACAACGTGGTTTTAGTGAAGCAAATTTCCTAAGAAAGGAAACGTTTTTATTTTTTAAGTGCATTGTTCTTTCTAGTTCATTTCTTTATGAAATAAAATTGTTTTATTTAAACATAGTTCCATTGTCATTTCTGAAAAATACAGTATAAGTTGTAGCAGCAGTAAAAAAAAAAATTGTTATATAAGTGGTTGAGGCAGATTTAACTGATTTTGTTAAACCAATTTATAGGTTAATGCTTCTAATATTACACTTCTAAAAAGCTGATTTTATATTCATGTTCTAAAGGAGAATATGTGGTAATAAAGTGTATTTGTTAATAATTGAAATAGGCTTGATTTTAAGAGTTCCAGTATATAATAGTCAACAATTTGAAACCTAATTAATGACAGTATCTCTTGGAGTTCCAGTAATTGATGTCACAAAATAGTGAATAAGCATGCCAGTGTGCAAGGGTAATGTAAGGATTGTTGGCCTATCTAAATATTCAAAATTATAAAACTTCAGTATGTTTTCTAATTTTTAAGAATTCAGAAGTGTTCTGTAATGGATTCAGATGTTTCATTTGTAGTATAATGAAATGTTTACAGAAAGATAACTTTTTCATTAAAATATTTTTAGAAATGTGTGTGTTGTTTTGTACTTCACAGTGTTCATGTGACTTAAACACTATAGGTGAATATTTTTGAGTTATTTTACCAGTAAATAATAAAACAACAGGAAACTTGGAGTGAGCCTTTATGAGTTATTTTAAAAGATGTGGATTCTATTATATGGAAAACAAGCCATGGGAAATAGGCATGGAAGAAAAATATTTTTTAAAGTTACCAGCACTTGTTGCCTATAAGAACTTAGATCTTGAAAGACAATAAATGAGGTATTTGGGTGATACATGTGAGGAATCTGAACCTTTGACGGGGAAAACAACCAAAATAAGTGAATTAGTAAATAGAAACAAACTAGGAGAAAAGTAAAGGTGGTTGCTAGGAGGGAAAGGAGGCGGGTATTGCAGATGTTGGAAGTAATCTAGTTTATTTTGTTTTTTAGAGAGCATCACTGTTGCCAGGCTGGAGTGCAGTGGCATCTCGGCTCACTGCCCAACTGGGTTTAAGCGATTCTCTTGCTTCAGCCTTCTGAATAGCTGGGACTACAGTCGTACACCACCATGCCCAGCTGATTTTCTGTGTTTTTAGTAGAGACGGGGTTTCACCACGTTGGCCAGGATGGCCTTGATCTCTTGACCTCGTGATTCACCCCCTTTGGTCTCCCAAAGTGCTGGGATTAACAAGTGTGAGCCACTGCACCTGTCCGAAAGTAACTAGTTTGTTAAATCTTGAGAGGCAGTGGAGTGGTTCAGTATTGTATGGTGAGGGTAAGTTGGGGAAAACCTTCATGACATTAAGTAGTCTTAAACTACGCTGGTATTTAACACACAAGAAAATCTGTTGTGTACAATGGCCCCCTATTTTGTTGGATTAATTCTTTTTTAGGGAGGAGGGTAGGGCTTTGATAAAGTCTTTTAAAATGACAACTTCCATTTGGATACCTGGCCTTAATAGCTGTTATAAGCACATTTTCCCGATATAGTTTTTTCAAGTGAAATACTTGGTAAGTGGAAGCCAGTTAAGGATTCTTGGCTAGCTGTTAAACTTAATGCAAACTCTTTGTATTCAAACCCTTGTGTCATATTTTGTGCAGTTAAGTAATCTTAATGTCATGTCTTATAATTTCAGTTGAATACTTAGGTCCTGGAATAATAAAGGATGAGTATGGATTTATTTCCAACAAAATAAGTATATTTACCCTTGTTTTCTCACAATAAAAGCACATTGTTATA